TCATCCGAATTATTCATAAAGAGTGACGTTCTATTTTCAGAAGCTTGTATACGGAACAAAGGCGGCTGTTTTTCTGCATTTGACGCGTCATCAATTTTACAAAGTTACATATCGGGACTTCCCCTTGCTTGTCAATATTTAAATTTTCTGTTTACTTGAAATTCATGCACGTTTAGTTTCTTAGAGTGTTTTATACTCTTTGTGGCTGCAGTAAACAGATCTACATGATTCTTTTAAGTTATGACATCTAAAAGAATGTACTCGTTGTATAATTTAGAAAAAAAAATAGATACGGTTTGATTCAGGTACTTTGTTAAGCATCTAAAACAATTCAGAGTGTTAAGTTTGCTTATAGTAATTTGCTAAAATATAGCTTGTTACAGTATAATACCTATAGTTTTTTTTCTTGAAGTGATGTTGATTATTTTCTTAAAAATCCTGCTTGAAGGACCATAAAAAAAAGTATTTTTATTAGCTGGTTCATTGTAGCACTTCTCTTTGCAGGTTTACTTAATGATTCCTAAAGTCTAGAAATTATTTAAGTCTTGCAGAAGGTTTTCGACTCAAATTTAAAAAAAGCTATTTATTCTTTGACATGGCTAGTTTAGACTTCATCTACTCGACTCGATTGACACTTTGCCAAACGCAAAATAGATAAATACAACGGCCTAAGCCGAAGTCGTGGTAAAACAATAAAAAAAATATCATAAAAAAGTTTTGTAAATAAAATTACACCTAAACAAAATATTTTTAAATCGGCTAATATTTTATTATTCAGCATAATCGCTTTTAAGCCAAAAGCACTTTTATTCAACAGTTCCCAAACTTCTTTAAAGCGACTTTGTTCGAGTTGCTGGGAATCAGCGAAAGCCGTTTTACAGCATCAGTCCTCCCTTCGAAGTATCTTATCGACAGCGGAAAGAAACTTTTGAATCCTGGAAACAGCCGCTGGTAGCAAACACCAAAATTATGAAAATACGATGAAAATAAATTTATTTCATGCTTGAATTCGTTTAACTTTTGTCGAAAAATATCAGTTAAGAAACATTATTTTATATCTATCTATCTCAAAAAATGTTTTAAATATTTGTAATAGAAATTCCAATCAAGAATGCTTGAATTTTAATTAGATGATTAAAAAAAAGTTGTTTGATTCTGGAGATAACGACCAAGTAAAAGTTGTCACCCTAGTCTATTTTTGGGATCTCCAAGTGTAGTGGTATTGCAGCCTTATAAGACTGCAATTATTTGAGTATTTTACTTCCATTTCCATTTACTCCATGCTTTACATAGTTAAATGCTAATCCCATGGTTCCAAATTCATCATCTACCCAGCAGTCCATCTAAGACGTACCTGCTTAGGTTATAAAGAGAGCTAATATATAAAAAATTACCAATGTTATCAAAGCGTCCCTAAGAATACATACATACCAAAGCTGTGAAAGGCAGCAGAGGTCATAACTTATTTATCTAATAATGTGTATATTTAAGTTCTGATGCAATACATTTTTATTCAATCTGGCTATAATAATATTACCACTTGTGCACACAATTTTAATATATAAATAGTTTTTTATATATTTAAACAAACAGTTATAAAAACATACAATTTGATACAAAACAGAAATTAAACATTATGAAATCTGCGGTGTATCACAGTTCAACTAAAAGATTTAAATGAGAGCAGAGTTGAAGCGCACTGCAATAAAATATTTTTATGTGAAAATCTTCATGATTTAGCGTGGCTCCGGAAATTGCCCTTATGCTGGTTATTGCAGTAAAACAAAAAAAAACAACGTTTTAACCGGTAATGAAAATCCAGGTCCATACAGCGTTTCTCGTGATATTTACAATAAAATTTTAAACGATTTTTTTATTTTAAATATAAAATATGTAATTATGTTGTTTTTTTGCAACCGAGGACCATGTCACACTGACATTTGTCTAATTGAGCACGATAAAACAACAAAATGGTTGTGAAAAAGCTGTAAACAAGGTTGTAAAAATAAAATTACCTGAAAATGTAAATTTAATATATTATAGATCGCAAATCGAAATCCAAAAAGTAAGTGAGATAATTTTTGCCCGATCTATTGTTATAATTTTATTAGGGGAGATAGTGAAAAATAGAGAAACGTGTTACCAATTTTTGTTAAAATGTATCACTATCTACCCTTGAACTAATTTCTCTCAGACAGATTGGTACAAAAAAAATACAATGAATGTTTCATTGAATTTAATTCTTAGATTGGGTGGTGATATACAGTGCTTTTCAGATAAAAGTATCCACTTTAAGTAACTTTTGAAGGACTGATTATTACAAAAAACAAAAAAATACGTCAATTAATATTCAAAGGGGGAGATATCGTGCCATATTTAAGTTTGCTAAAAAAGTCACCCTTTTACCCCTACTATCATCCCTTCAATTTTTTTAATGGCTTGCCCCATTTTTTATCCATTTTTGGATTGCTCTCGTTTAACTGATTTCAAAAATGTATAAAACATGGGGATTAAAGTAATTAGTTTACGATCTACAGAATTTTAAATTAAAATAAAATTGAATTGTGCAAAACTTTTATTTTAATGATTTTGTCACAAGCGTTTCCAATGACAAAACGAATATTTCATTTTCAAAATTTATTATAAAAATTGTTCAAAATGTCCACCATTTACTTCCATACAATGGTATAACCTAGATTGAAAAGCCTCCCTGACATTACCGAACAAGTGTGCATTTAAATGTACTCTATTCTTTTTCGTAAATCTTCTAAAGATTCTGGTTGGGTAGCATAAATTTTTGTTTTTAAATAACCCCATAAAAAGAAGTCTAGAGGTGATAAATCCGGTGATCTAGGTGGCCACTCCATCATCGAGCCTCTTCTACCTATCCATCGATTAGGGAAAGTTTCATTTAAAAATTGTCGTACTGGCAAAGCAAAATGTGGAGGCGCTCCATCCTGTTGAAAGACAAGCAAATCTTTAGAAAGATTATGATCATTTTCTATTATTGTTGTAATACGTGGATCAATTACTTCTCTCAATAACTCAAGATATGACTCTCCATTTAAGTTTCCGTCTAAAAAGAAAGGTCCGACTATGTGGTCACCTAGGATACCACACCATACATTTAACTTTTGAGGATTCTGTGTGTGGTATTCACGCACAACATGTGGATCACTCTCAGCCCAATATCTGCAATTATGTCTATTAACTAAACCATTAACTGAAAATGTGCATTCATCCGAAAAACAAAGGTTGTGCAACAAATGTGGATTGTCAGTCAAGCGCTGACTCAATAGTTCACAAAATTCAAGACGACGATCAAAATCATCTTCATACAACTCTTGAACCAATTTAATTTTGTATGGATGATACTTATGCTTGTGTAATATTCGATAAACTGTGGAAGATGAAACACCTACTTCTCTGCTTATTGTTTTCAGTGACTGTGCTTGTTAATTTTCAAGACTTACTTGTCCTAAAACTGCGACTTCAATTGCTTCGTTATTAACGAGTTCCAGTCGGTTATGTTTTTTATTGCCAACTGACCCGGTTGATGTAAATTTATGCATAAGATCAATTACATACTTATGAGTTGCATGACCTTCTTGGTGTGTTTCGTTGAAAATTCTAGCAGCAGCTCGTGCAGAACTGTTATTTTTGTAGTTTAAACCTACAAGTTCAATTCTTTCTTGTAAACTGTAAACCATTTTCAAATCAAATAAATAACCTCAACAAATCAATGTGCACATGTATCAAAATACACTATAAAAGTAATTTAAATTCATTTTTCAAATCTCCAATACCTTTACCATGTATCATAAAAAACTTCAACAAGTTTTTAGCGGTACGATTAAGGTATAATGTATTCTAAATCCAATTTTGCTGCAGTCAGTAAGGTGAGATGTAAAAATTTGTCACTCAAATAATGGAACCCTGTAGATCATAAACTAATTATTTTAAACCCCATGTTTCATACATTTTTGAAATCAGTTAAACGAGAACAATCCAAAAATGGATAAAAAAATTGAAGGGATGATAGTAGGGGTGAAAGGGTGACTTTTTCAGCAAACTTAAATATGGCACGATATCTCCCCCTTCGAATATTAATTGACGTATTTTTTTGTTTTTTGTAATAATCAGTCCTTCAAAAGTTATTTAAGGTGGATACTTTTATCTGAAAAGCACTGTATGTGTATCTAAGTAATAGTATAAAGGTCGAATATAGGATTTCCTTGTAGTCTTAAGAAATTTAAAATATATATTTCCTTACATTCTCAAGTAAAAGACGAGATATATTTCTTTTTCTGTATACCGAGACTCTAGTGAGAGATGTGTTGCCTTGGGTTTGAACTTATACAGAAGTATATACAGGGTAGTTTAATAGTTAATAGTTTAATAGTTATAAGTTACAATGAGTTACAACAATAAATAAGTTACAATAAAGTGCAATAATGGAAACCAATTATATAATAACAAGCACCTAACAAAAGTTGTTAAATTATGAAAGTCAATGGTTATAAAACAAAATACTATAAATAATATAATTATAAGCTATACACTGTATCGGAGAGAAAATCAAGATAACGTTTACTTAACTCTGATTAAGAAAAACGGATCACTTAACTTAAAAACTAAAGAGCGCCCACATAACTTAAACTTAGGAGGAAGAACGAAACGTGACAGACCCAGATTAGGATGGCAGAAGGAAGTGAAAGAAGATATACGAAGGGCAGGAGTGAATATTTGGCAAGAATAAGTAAAGGATAGAGTAAAACGAAGGAACATTGCAAAGAGTATTATTTAAGAGAATGGTATTGATTCACCCAAAATATGGATCTAGAGGGCGTTTTTGGCCACATTATATATTTCTTATTATTTAAAATCTAGTTAACGGTACTTTATTCTAAGATACCCTGTAGATTTTTACTAATTTTTTAAATAATTTAAACATGCATATTAATAATAAAAAACATAGATAGGTATATAAAAATTCTTACAGCATCGTTGTGGTTCCAGAAAATGAACGCCGGTGGCTCGGGACTATGTCGAACGACGCAAGTGAGGTTAATAGTGCTGCCTCGATCAATGAAAAGCTCAGGTCCGCCTACGATCTCTGTATCTGGTTCTGGAACATTAAAAATAGCACAATATTAGCTTCCCTTACCGCCGTACGAGTAGCTGCCAGCTAATTGTTCAGGTGAAGCGCAAATTTTGTTATATTGGTTGTCTCGGGATTTGAACTAAAGGTGAATTGATTTCTATGCATAATTATCAGTTGACACTTATTTGATAAACTAAATTTACTATTTATATCCAGTTCGTTATAGATTTCTGTCCACATTTTTTTAAATACGTCCTGAAAGCTTATATATTTTTTACTCTTATCTGTATTTATTATATTATTTATTTTAAAAAGTACTGCACCGTGCCCTGAAGTTTATGGTATCACATATCTACCAACTAACTTTGTTTGATTAAGTTTATTTTGACTTGGTTTTGTAATATAAGTTGGAGCATCTATTTGTGGTTAAAGATTGTAAGGAGATAGTAAATCAAGTAACTGTTTGGATTATTTTTTATTTAACGAGTTTATGTTACCATTTATGTACCATTTATTCTATTAATTAAATATTTAATCATTTTTAAAATGATAATTTTTGGATACTTTTTGTATTTGAAAAAAAAAATAGTTGAAAATAAATAATTAAATTTGTTTGCAGTACCTGCCAGGGTGCCAAATTTAACACTTCTAACATAATTTATTCTGAAAGAGAATTTATAACTCAATTCATACACTTTCTTGCAAATACTCAAATTTTGTTATAACGTCTGAAAGTGATTATGTCATGAAATCTCACTATTGTCCATTTTTTATTTTTTTTCTTCTACAAAAAAAATGTTCTCTTACTAGAACACAGCATAAATAATTTATCATTTATCTTTCTTATGTTATACGTTATCATATAAGTTTAAATTTATAAATATTCATTATGAAAAGATGACCGAACATTAATAAATAATGAAAAACTCTCAACAAAAAAGTTCATGCAAAGGAAAATAGAGAGACTTTCCAGATCCCTTACTCCACAATTATTAAACTTTCATACTCTTTAGGACATCATTTGTTATTCATGAGAGCAACCGGATGGTCGCAGGTGTAGCAAGAAACATTTAGGACACAAAGGATATATATAATCGGTTAATATTTTCATAGAGGGTTTAACGAAAAACATACAGGGTACTAGCGCTAGCAAAATTATAAAAAAACAATAATTAACATTTTTAAAATGAAATAAATACCTACACGCTGAATTAATGTCTTCTAGAGTAAGTAGCGTTAAATATAAGTAACATATAATATGTTACTTATATTTTAAACTATTTGAAATACTACTACTAAATTTTACAATATTTATTAATTTTCAACATTTAAAGGCTAAACCATTATTGGCTAATTTTAAGGATGAATATTCAAATCAGGCTATCAGTATACTTTTAGACACAGGCGCCAGAGCCTATTATATAAAATCATATGAAAAGGAGACCAAGAAAGCGAAGGGTGTTCAAAAATGAGTATTAAAAAATATAATAATTAAACCAATTTATAGTGTGAGCTTATACATTATTATCCATAGTCCTAACACGCTACTTTGTGGTACATTTTCGTTATTATATTTTATTTTAGAGAATACTTCCTCCTGTTCAACTAGTAATAAAAAAATTTAAAATCTCAATATACTGTTTTAATGCTCACTGATTTACTAATAATCATAAAATATTTAAATCTACTACGAAATTTTATTATGTGGCGTTTATAATATAAAAAACGCATAATATTCCTCGCCCATTACCTTTAATAATGAAACCGCTCTAAAATACCAGGAGTCATTTTATCTTTGGAGGAATATTTTAATTACCTAACAGTAATTAAATTTCAGCGTTGCAATAACCTATATGAAAGAAATAAACTTTTATTACGAACATAATCTGTTTACCTTCGACATAAAACCACGGAGGTAAAAGGCCAAATAAATTCTCAGTGTGCCATTATGTTATGAAATATTTTATGGTAAAATGAATGAATTTTTAAATTGTATTATGTAATTGTGTTATGGAAGTTGTGCATCAAAGTTTAATTTTTTTGACGGAAGTTAAAAATGAAAAATAGAATAGTTAAATTATCATGTGGAAAATAATATTGCTGTTGTTACCAGTCAAATTTAATGAAACTTTTCGTATTAGTAACAAGTCATCATGAAATTTAATAATTTTGGGTTGGTACTTTAACCATTTTCACAAAATGACATTTATTACTTGTAAACAAAATTAAAACAGTAGAATAGGTGCAGGGTGAAGGGCCTAACTTAAAAAATAATGGTGAAAGAGGTAGATCATTAGCTTAATTTTTTTATATAAAATAAAAATTAATTGTGTTAATAATAAATGCTAATTAATTTTATTTAATTTTAAATACACCTATTCCTTTTCCGAAACTTTTGGCCAATGACATGTTTTTGTTTGTTAAAACTTTTCGAATATCGTCTGTTTTTAATCGAAAAGATTTGATACTTTTTCTTAGGGTCCATAAAAGTTCTGGGAGACCTTTATCGAATAAAATTTATTTCAAGTAAAACTTTTTGAAAGATATCAGATGAAAGATAATAAAACTTTTGTTATTTTGTTTTGTTTTGTAACAATTTGGAGACATTTCATTAGAGGCTTGAAATTTAAAATTATTTAATATACTTTTACTGGGAATTTAAATATATGAAACAGAAGATATTGTGATATTGTTGAATAACATGACAATAAGAAGAAGAAGAATTTATAATAGTATATTCATTTTATAGAGGTAGTTATTTTCATAATCATTTATAGGTATTATAAAAAATTGTTATAAAATTAGCGTTATATAAATCTTACTAATAAAACTCAAATAGTCCAATTTTTTCAAATATTCTCAGGTTTCCACAGGGGTCACATCTAGGACCCTTACGATTTAACTTATTTATTAGTTATGTAATGTATTGTTTTCATCATAGCAAAGCTTTATTATTTACAGATGGTTTAGCACTTTTACAAATTAATAAAGCCCATGATGATCTCTAGACTTCAATTTGGCCTAGAAAATCTATCAAAATTGTGAAATTTGAATAGCATGAACTTAAATTCCAATAAATGCCATATAATATCTTTTTATCGTTATCATCTACCTCTAACTACTTTTGACTATAATTTTCCTGTTAATCAGATTAAAGACCTTGAAATTGTTCTGGACCGTTTAAAAAAATTGGGTTTTTTAAAAAGGTTTGCCTATGATTTTACTGATACAACTGCAATTAAAAATTTTTATTCCACCTTATTGCTCTTTAGTTTGGTCTTCATACTATATAACATATTAAATAGATGAAATTAGATGAAAGGGAGATCAAGAAAGCGTGTGGTGTAAAATCATGTGTAATTAAAAATAACGATTTTATTGATACAACTGCAATTATAGATTTTTATTGTTCACTAGATTCCAGCTTGCCCATTGCTCATATAGTAGAAAAATATCTGATTGGGTGTTCACTGTAATTAATTTTAAAAATGCCCTGCTTGGAAAATAGGCAAAAACAGAGACACCTTATTTTGCTATCTAATTTTATCAATGGTATATACAATTGTCCTGAATTTTTTGCCAATATAAATATTCTTGTTCAAACTCGTCTAACTGGGTAAATTTCATTTGGTTGTCTGTGCGTGCGTGTGTTCAAAATATTTTCATTCGTAATATACCTTATTTTATACGTTTGTGATATTTTCTTCTTTGTTAATATACGACTATTTTTAAAGAAGAATAATTGTCATTTAAATCTGTAAGCTTTCACGTGAGTTATTTATTACATGGTCAACTTTAGAGAAAAAATATCAGCTCTATACCTAAATAATAAACAACAAAACAAGATACCTAATACATTTTTATTCTAACCCTTATATTATAATTTATAATGCATGTGCAATTCCTTTTAGATTGATGAAATATTCGATTTTAATATAAATAGCTTGTATGTTGCCATGAGAAAAACAACATTTAATAGCCTGTAAAAACAGAAGTCAAAAAAATGTTAATGCATCAGTCTGTTATAAAATATTTTTTTATAAAACCAATCAATAAGAATAAGGTAGCATTTTGCTAAGTGAAATGAACAACACTTTTAGTGGTAAAACCTTTTATTCAAATTGATTTCGTGATACGGTAGTATAGTCCATCAACCCTGGTTAAAAGGACTAAATTTAAAAACTGAAACAATGTACCTATATCCTTGTTTTTATAGAATTTTATTAAAATGAAAATATACATAACTATACTTTTAGATGAGGATGTAGTAGTACTAAAATGTAGATACATAAGTTTAGTGTTTAGTGTTTGTGGAAGTTCTCTAAAAATATATCATTAAGATAAAATTACCTATGTCATGACTAATATGAAGCACTTGATATCCAATACAACATAATCACGGAATAGTGGTTGTTGTATTTTTTATTTAAAAGTACACATGCAGTAAAGTTATTTATTATAGAAGAACACAAAGTGAAGCAATAAATAAATAGAAAGTTTTACAGTTTTCTGTGGCAAGCTTCAGATTGATATTAGTTACGTTAAATGAGACAAGCTACTCCAAAATTTAGACTATGATGTCGATTCTATAATTTTAAGTAAGATAGATATTTTAGTTTAAAGTTTATTTAAGAAAGAAGGTTATGCTTTAATATACACTCTATATATAAAATAATGGAGATTATTAACAATATTAATATATACCAGATACAGATACGACTATCTCCATAACAGCTGTATATAGATCCCCGAATTCCACGGCGCTAGAATTTATAACACAATTAGAAAACTATTTAAACTATTCTAGCTTTAACTTTAAAAATAGTTAGATTTCTTGATGGTAGCAAGTCATGCTTATGCATTTTTGTCTATTTGTCTAAGGCTTTTGATACTGTTTGCCATCGTCTACTCTTGCAGCTTCTAGAAGATATAGACATTAGAGACAAATATTTAAAAGTTTTTGAAAATTATTTATTGAAAAGGTATCAAGCTGTAAGAGTAATGTTAATAATGATACAGAAGTC